TACAAGGCCATTAAGACTCTGATAACATTCAAATAGTGGAGTTGCCTCAACAGAATTCAGTAGCTCTGATTTATTTAGGCAGCTTCTGCCCTGGTTACCTGGAGGTTTCTGAGGCAGGTGTTGATATAAACATGATTTCTTCACAGTTATGTGGCTGGCCTGCCAGTTTTTCTCTGTGCTTTTTCACTTATTCCCTAAATCATGTAAATTTTTTAGTGCATCATCATCATCATATTGGATTAAGGATGCAGCGAAACATTTATATTTCCCATCTGGCCTTAATAGTTTCTTCCTTGTTCTTTTAGAAGCCCTGGGGGCTTTGAAAGAGATCCCAGCAGAAGCCGCCCAAGCGCAAGGGAGTAGTCCACACATTTTGTACCTCAGCCAAAAACTCCCGTTCCTAATCCCATTCTGATAACCGGTCTGTTGATAGCATAATTGAAGAAAACCAACTGGATGCCGTTGGGTTTTAAAACTTAATTTAACTTAATCCAACTGCTTTCCAACTCCCATCAACTTTGGGTAGTTTACAAAGGATTTAAAAAATAAAAACAAGGCAATGAAACTGAAAAAAGTAGAAATGGCAGAATAACAAACTCAGATGGGAAGAAAGAAAAGAAAGGAGCTTCAATTATACCCCCCCGCTCCCATCCAAGGCCAAGTGAAGAGCCACGTCTTCAGGCCCCTTCAGAACACCAGCAGGGTGGGGCACCTTCGAAAATAGGGAGGAGCCCCATGCCAGAGAAGAGGAGCTGCTAAGGAGAAGATGTCCCTCCCGTGTCCCAAGGGAAGCGCCATTTAATTGAAGGAACAAGGGAGTGCCAACTCTACCAGATCAGGTCAGTTGGGCAGATGCTTTGGTGGTCCTTCAGCTACGCAGGACCTCCGCCATATAAGGCTTTCTCAGTAGCACCCTCGAATCACACCCAGAAGCAAATTGGCAACCAGTGCAGCTCACAAAGGAGATAAATTCTTACACCACTACATTCTGGACTACTGAAGTTGAAACTTCAATAGGTTTTTGAGAGCAGCCCAAAGGGGAGGATGCTACTGTAGTCCATGACAAGGGTATCTGAAGGGCCGATCTGGGGAAGACGGCAACTGGCCTACCCATGCGAAGGTCTTCTTGGCCACAGTCAACACATGTTCAACAAGGAGCTGCAATTACAGAATGACCCCCAAATAGCACACACGCACCCCTTGATTGGGGAAGTGCCAATCTACCCAAGATCAAAGGCGTACTATTCCCAGGTTTGAGTGGTGCAATTCCATTCTGATAGGATTTAAGTACTTGGCGTTGACAATTATATGATTTTGGGTTGGAAGTTATGCTTCCTTGTGTCTTTTGATTCAGAGATTCCTAGAAAGTTTTCTCAGTGGGTAATTCTGAACTTTATCCTTGATTCAGATGAAGAAGGAAGTTGTTTTACAGGTGCCCTAGGATCTCATATTCATCTGGGGAAAATGAATATGGCTAATAAGATTTAGCTATATTGACTTATATTTTGGAGGTCTTCTTGGCTTTTTGCTTTCATAATATTTGAAATAACTTTATAGTATATACAATAACTTTATATGGCAGGGTATCCCTCAAGAGTTCCAATAGATAAATTACTGTCACCTCTTGGGAAAAGTGGATTTAATTTTCCAAACTTTCAAGAATATCATCAAGGATATTAAAACTTTGATATTGGTTGAAATTAGTAAATTAGGAACTTTAGAATTCTCTTTGGTCTCAGTGTGAAAGCTATTGTCTAGTTAGTTATCCAGTAGCTTGGTCGTTTAATGATTGTGTGTCATCAAGTCGTTGTTGATTCTTAGCAACCACATAGCTAGATTGATGATCTGTTCTCAGCCTGGTCTTTCAGGTGTCCCAATTCTACTCTCATCCTCCCTGTGAGTGAGCCCATCCACCTTACTGTTTCTCTCCTTCTCTCTCTTTCCACCTTTCCCAGTATCAAAACCTTCCCCAGAGCCCTGGATCAATAGCAATAACGGCGAGAGAGATCTTGGAGTCCTAGTGGAGAATCACTCAAATATGAGCCAGCAGTGTGTGGCAGCCACCAAAGTCTTAGGCTACATCAACAGAGGGATAGAATCAAGACCATGTGAAGAGTTAGTATCAGTTATAAGGTCTTGATAAGGCCATACTTGGAATACTGCAGCCAGTTTTGGTAACCACAATACAAAAAAGATGTTGAGGCGGCTCTGGAAAGAGTGCAGAGAAGAGCAACCATAATACGGTAAGAGGCCTGGAGGCTAAAACACATGAAGAATGGTTGCTGGAATTGGGATGTCTAGTTTGATGAAAAGAAGGACTAGGGGTGATAGGATAGAATGGTTCCAATATCTAACCAACCTATTCTCCAAAGCACCTGAAAGCAGAACAAGAAGCAATGGATGGAAACTGATCAAAGAGAGAACCAACTTAGAACTAAGGAGAAATTTCCTAACAGTTAGAACAAGTAATCATGGATTGGCTTGTCTCCAGAAGTTGTGGGTGAAGGTTTTTAAGAGGAGACTGACCCACCATTTGTCTGAAATGGTATAGGGCCCCTGCTGGAGCTGGGGGCTGGACTGGAAAACGTTGATGTGTTTGATGATCCATCAGTAAGTTTCCTTGGTTCTCCATGGTATTCTCAGGAGCCTTCTCCACAAGTTTTGGAACTTTTTGAACAATCCTATCCTATCCTGCTTCTTCAACATTTCATCTCCAATGAAAACCTTAGCAAATATTGGACAAGCACAACATCCATTTGTTCTGGGATCAGTTTCAATAACTGAACTTAATACCACAAGATATCTATGTATAAAATATTGGGACAGAAATTTAACACTGATTCTTTAACCTTAGGAAAGATTACATTACACATCATTTACATTTCAGATTTAAAAATCTGCTTTTTTTAAAAAAAATGTGTCACTTGAGCCTTTCAACATTATTTGTTTATTGGTGCCTTCAAGTCATTGCTGATTCTGACAGCTGCCTGGGCCAGCCTCTGCAGTTTTCTTGGTGAAGTTTTCCAGAAGTGATTTGCCATGGCCACCTTCCTAGGGCTCTCAGAGAGAAACCCCCCACCCAAGCAGGAGACCCTACACCATTTCTGACAGATGGCAGTCCAGTCTCTTCTTGGAAGCCTCCAGTGATGAAGCTCCCACAACTTCTGAAAGGCAACTTCTGTTCCACGGGTTGTTCTCCCTGTCAGGAAATTCCTCCTTATTTCCAGGTTGAATCTCTCCTTGACCAGTTTCCTTGTCAGCCTTTGGGTGCTTTGGAAAACAGCTTCACCCCCTCTCTCTCTGGGGCAGCCCCTCAAGTATTGGAAGGCTGCTCTCCTGTCTCCCCTGGTCCTTCTCTTCCCTAGACTAGCCAGGCCCAGTTCCTGCAACCGTTCCTCCAAGATCTCTTCCAGCCGTATTATTCCATGTTCTAATCTCCAACTTGTTCAGGCAGTGGATTTTGGAGAAGACACTGGAGTGTGAATCTCTGTATTTTCAGGACCACCAACCATGATGTCCTGGGTATTCAGGGTCCCAGTCTTACAAAGGCTGGCGGTGTCCCTTTATGAGTATAGTGGGCAATTCTAGGGCGCATCAGTCGGGGCTCCTTGTGGCTCTAACATGGGGTAGCCTCCCCTGTGTTCTTTAACACCTACACAAATCGCTCCAAGGGATCGGCCGACGGTTTGGAGTGAGGTTCTGTCACTGTCCCAATAATACCCACTTAAGCACCTTGTTGTGTTGTTTTCGGACCAGGGTATCTGGTGACGGTGATGCACGTCCTCAATGCTGCATGGTTAGACTGCTGCCCCGGCCTCTGGGTGGAGCAGCCCGAGCCATTGCACAAGCTGCTGCCGTTTTGCATCCTAAAGTCATCCTTCAGAGGTTCTGCTGCGGTTTTTGGTCCAATCCAAAGTGATCTCGGCTGGCTATGAGCTATAAAGGCCTGGCTGGTCGAATGGGAAAAGGGTGCCCCCCCCCCCGCTTGACCAGGCTGTCCCCACTTGACCTGGGTGTCCGATGGGAGGGCGGCCCTCACGATGGGGGATCCCTAAGTCTCTCCCAGACCTCCGTATAAATGTGCCGCCTCCTCTCTCTGCAGGCGGCCTGTGGATCGAGCCCCGTTCCCGGCTTGCCAGCTCCGTCCCTGGGCGCCTCCGGGGGCTTCGGCCGCGCGCGTCCCCTCCACGAACCCCAAAACGCGCGCGCGGCTGGGCCCGCCCTCTCGCCGGGATTGGAGGGCCGGGGGAGAGGCGCCCCCTCCCCGCTCGGAATAAGCGGCGGGAGGGGGGAGACGGGGCTCCAGGCTTCGGTCCGTCCTGCCGGGCGACTAGTCAATGGCCGGCCGGGGTCGGGCGCCCGTCCGGCTGGCCGGGGAGTGGGGTGGGAGAGCTGTGCGCGCCCGCCCGCCCCTGCCGTGTTTGCGGAGGCGACGCCAAGGTCAGCCCAGCTCTGGCGCCCTCCTGGCCCGGGGCTGCGCGGGGGTTGCGCCGGGCGGCAGCCGACAATCCCAGCTCGGCTCCCCTTTTCAGGGACGCCCCGTGGCTCGGGCGGTTGGCCGGAGCAGTGCCGAGAGCGGGCAGCGCTCGCCCCCCGCAGCGCCCGCAGGGCTCCGGCTGTCCGGCAAGTCGGCTTCCTTCCGCGCGGGACCCGCCTCCGCCGCCTCCGCCGCCTCCGCCTCCCGCCTCCCCGCCCCTCGTCCAGCCGATGGCGGGCGGGCAGGGTCCGGGACCCCGGCGGCTTCCACGCCGCTTTCCCTGCCCCACGAGCGCCCCCTTCTCCGGCTGGGACCCGAAAGCCGCCGAGAGTCCCCGCCCCGGGAACGGCTCAGCGCACCGCCCCGTCGCCGTGGCCGGTCGGCCGTCGGGCTCCCCCTTCGCCGGGCCCCCTTTGCGGCTCCCGGCCGGGAGAGAGAGAGAGAGAGAGAGCGCGAGGAGGGCGCGCGAGGCGGGGGCGCGCGCTGGCTCGCTCCCGGGCCGCGAGCTGCGGGCGCGCGCAGCCACCGACCCAAGTCCTGGACTTTAGTTACATTGTTGGGCGAGTTTTCCCAACTCCCTCGGCCGCGGCGTTGCGCACCCCCGGCGGGACTGGCTGGGGTCCTCTCGGCTCTGCCTCGGGCGCCGTTTGGAAACGCGCTCCAGCCTGCGAGGAGGCGGCGGCGGCGAGGCAGGGAGCGAGGCTCCGGAGCCGCGGCGGCGGGAGGGGGGAGGAGAGCCCCGGCCCCCCATCCGCCAGCGCGACGCGGAGAGACGCGGAAGGGCCCTTCCAGCCGGCCGCCCCGGGATCCGCCTCCCTGCGCCTCTGGCTCGGCGGGCGACCCTCCCGGCGGGCTCCGCAGCGGGCCCCCCGCCGCCGCCTCCTCCACTCTTTCCCGCCGCCGATCGCCACGCCGCGCCGCTGGGCATGAGTTAGATCGCGGACATGGACACCAAACATTTCCTCCCGCTGGGTGAGTTGCTGCCGCCGCCGCTGCTGCTGCTAAGCGCTTCTTTCTCTCCGGGAATGGGGGGGGGGGGGCGGGCTTGGAACAAACGGGAGCCCCGCGCGCTGGGGGCGGCCACCGGGCGAAGGGAGCGGCTGCCTCTCTGGCCCCCTCGCAGGCTCGGGTCGGGGGGCGGCGGCGGGGCAGCGGCCGCCTCGGCCAGTTGCGCGGCCCGGAGCGTTTCTCTGCGCGGCTGGAAGCTTCGGCCGGGCGCCAGGCCTCCTCGCCGCCGGGCGGGCTGAGTGCGAGTTCCCGGGAGTGGGGACAAGTCGCCGGGGTGTGCAACTCCCGCCGGGCGGCCGGGCAAGGCGGGGCCGGGGGAGGGAGGCCGAAGTGGCCCGAAGAGCCGGAGCTTCCCAGAGGGCCCCCCCCCTCTCCAGTGCTCGGCCGGAGGAGGCGACCTTCCAATCCGGTCCGGCCGAGGGTCTTCCCGGGAGGTTCGAGAGGCGCCGCCGGGACCTTCGGGAGAGCCTCCCGCCGCCGCCCCCGCGTCAAACTTGCCGCGCTCCGGCCTCGCCTCCCCGCCCTGTTCCCGGGGCCGCGTGGAACTTTGGCGGAGCCCCTTTTTCCCGAAGCCGGCCGGGCGTCTCGAGGCCCCGCGGGGTTCGGCGCCGCCTCCAAGCGCGCCCTCGGGGCTTGAGCGGCCCTTCCTCCGCGGAGCAGCGGGCCGGCCTGTCGCTCAGGGCCGGCGTTGAGAGGGGCGCTGGGGGAGGGAGACCCAGTCGAGCCCGCCTGGAAGCGGGCAGCGATATGCCAGAGCTGGGCGGTGGGGCTGGCCTGCGCTGCGCTTCCCGCTCCTCCGCGAACTCTGTCCCCAAAACCCGGGGCAGGAAGGCCGGAGCCACGGAAGGCCCGGAGGCGGCTGGAGGTGTTGTTGACAACTGCGAGCATCGGCGGGCGTGTTATTTCTGTTGTGGGTGTGAGGCGGGAGGCGGGGGGGGCGGTTGGGGCTCAGCGGGGATGTAAACAACTCATTAGGTCGAAATCCCGTCCGCCGCTGCGGCTTTGTTGGCCCTTTTCCTGCCTTGAAAGCAAGAAGGGATTCCCGGGTTTTATCGTGAAAGCCCGCGATTCTCTCTCTGAAGCCGCACAGAGAGCGGCGGCTGTGTTTGTTGTCGTCGTTTGTCAAGAGCTAATCGGCTAATCACAAATGGTGCGATTAAAGCAGGATTCAGGCTGGCACCGAAGCAGCCCGGAGAATTGGCTGGGGGAGAAAAAGCGATTGAGCCTGGAAAGCATCTGAGGCAGGTGCCCCACACCTGGGCCCCGAGCGGTGCCATTTAGGGCAGGTGTTTCTAAACTTGGCCACTTTAAGACTTGTGGGCTTCAACTCCTAGAATTCCTCAGTCCACAAGTCTTAAAGTGGCCGAGACCCCTGATTTAGGGCGCTCATTGACCGCCAGCGAGGTGCCTTGTCTTTGCAACCTCTGACTCACAATCTCTCCACCCACTCCGGGTCCCCAGCACCCAACTGTCACTGGAGACCAGAGACCATCCCACAAGTGTGCATTTCTGATCCAGGTAATGCAAACAGGAATTTGCCTGCTCGGCTGCAGAATTTCTCCTATGCAGGTGCCCAAGGCCAGCGTCCAGAATGCTCCAGAATGGCCACTGGATGATATTTTGTATCACCGTTGGGCAGAACATGGTGATTGTATTTAGCTTTCATTAACATAATTCTAATTAAGTGATTTTGACTTTTCCCCCCACTGCGGCTGCCCTGCCACAGTTTGAGTGAGATTGGCCTCCCTGCCGTGGTGGATCATGTCCCTTGCAGCCACTGTTGCTGTGGCCACTGTGAGAAGCTCCTCTCTGGCTGACCCAAAGGATGCTGGGTAGGGAGCATTTGCCTATCTGGTGGTGCTTGGCTCTGCTGCTCACATTAGCCTGTGTGTGTGTGTGGGGGGGGGGACTCTTCAGGGAGCATTTTGCAGCCTTTGCAAGGAGGACCAATATTTTCCTCACTGAGGTCTCTGGGATTGTGTTGGAGGCAACTGGGCTGGGCTGGAGGCTTCAGAGCGGGGAGTGGTTTGCCTCCAGTCCCTCCCTGCTGGACAGTTGGATGTCCAGGGTCAGTGCTCTGGTTACGCAATAAATGACTGAAATGTTGATTCGTCTGTCGATTTTTCTTTTTTAAACAGAAATTGGTGCTGGTTAAACTTTTGTGGGTCTGTTTGTCTTGTACTCCAGCCAGCTGTGGTCCTTTCCCAAGGAGAGTCCAGCCTCCCAGCCAAGTTGGCTTCTTTGCACACAGTGTGCCAAGGCTCTGCTCCCTCCCTCCCTCTTGTGCCAAGGCAGAGTTGACCTGTTGGCAGAACCTGGCCATTGTCTTGGTGCAGGGGTGGCCCCTGTCATCATCCCATCAAGACAGGGGCCTCCACACTTGGCCACTTTAAGACTTCAACTCCCTGCATTAAGACATCTGGTCCAGTCAACTGGCAGTTGTGAGGAGGCTATTCAGCTTATTATCAAAGGCTAGACGTTGAGCTGAGTCCCATGGGAGAGTCATGGGGGGGGGGGAGTCCAGCCTGGTCCTGTAGGGAAAGCACTTCGGCAGGTGCCCGTCTAAATGGAGGCTGGACTTCAGGCAGATGCTTGTGTTCCAGCCGGAGGGAAGGGAGACAAATCATCTCCTGTGACTCGGGTTGGAGTGGGTTCTTCCGAGGCCTGGCTTCACACAACCAGTGTGCCATGCCTGGCTGGGCTGCCATCCAAGCCCCAGCGGGCCGGCAGTGATTGTGGCCGCTTCCAAGCGCCTCTCCGGGAGCCAGAAACTTGAGCAGGGCAAAGGGTGTGTGTGTGTGTGCGTGCGCGCGCGCGCGTGTGTGCGCACTGGAGTGAACTATCGGCCATTGGGGCGGGGGGGGGGGGCTGGGCGGGGCCATCCTCCATTGCGGGAGGGGGGAGTCCAGCGGTGGACCCGCGCAGTTCTCTCTGGCTCCGCTGCGACGCGCCGTCCGCGGCTTCCCCAGAAGGCCAGGAAGGGGGCGGGGCGGGGCGGGGAAGGGAAGCGGAGGGTCCGCGGCGCCCCCGGCGGCTGACGTGGCCTCCGCAGGCCGCCCGGCGGCTGGTCGGCCCCGAAAGCGCGTCCTCCGCGGCGCCCTCGGGCAGCAGCGCCGGGTCCGGCGGCGAAGACGAGGCCGGGGAGCCTCCGAGGAGGAGCCGGGCTGCGGGCGGGGCGGGCTATTTGTGGCGGCCGCCGACCAGAGGCGGAACTGGGTCGCTTTCAGCCTGGAAGGTTATTTTGAGCGGCTGGGCTTCTTGCGCAGATCCGGCCTGTTTGGTCAGCTCGGGTTCAGGATGATACGGTGTGAATGGGGGGTGTATCTGCTGGGGTCCGGTGCAGGAACTGGCGGCTTCTGGGCGGGTGGCATGCAGGGAATGAGCCAGGGCGGGAGCTTCGGCCGTTTCCTGCCTTGGGAAAACACGGGATCCTTGGGAGTGTGTGAATCCAGCCGGGGAATCAGCTCAGGTGTGCGGGTGCCTCCCTCCAGCTTTACTTCACCGGCCCTTCACTTCTGAGGACCACCAAAGGATGAGGAAAGAGCAGCCGCTGCAAGGATCTGGAGGAGGGGGTGCCTCCTTCCCCTCCTCACTTAGCAGTTTCAGAGGCCTCATGGGGTCTCTCCCCAAGCGAGGAAGCCAGTGGCTTCTCCTCACTCTCCCCCCTTTCAGAACATTTCATAAAGTTTGAGCGAAAAGGCCAATTAAGGCCAAGCAGGCTTCAAGGAGTCCAGGCCCAGCCTGGATTTGTCTCTGGCCTTCCGCCTGCTCTCCATAGGACAACTCAGAGAGTGTCACCAAAACTAACTAACTCTGACTAAAACTATCTAACTAAAACTAACCAAGGAACTAACAACCTGTAACTATGATGTGATTTGATTTGTATGCTACCCATCTTGGTAAGAGGGGGCACTTTTTAGTTCTCCTTTTAGGAGCAGCTCCTCTCCAAATGGCGGTCTCGGCTCTTTCTATACTGCGGCTGCTTAGCCTACCTGGGTGGTATGAATTTTGTCTTTTGAAATGAGAGATAAATAGCTTTCCTTGCGATGCTACGTGGAATTACTCAGAACTTTTATTTGTGCGTTTGCTAACGTTTTCTATACTGTATTATTCTAACTCCTACAAGGAACGTGAAGGAGGTAGCTATAAGAAAAGCTGCCCCTCTTTCTCTTTTGTTAGACTTGTCATTCTGTTCTTGCTTCCAGACCTCACTTGTTGTGTTTATTTGTCCAATTTCCACCCACTGTAATCAAAAGACTTAGTGGGCTGCAGTCACATCAAATTATACTAAGAGCGCACAGTATCTTCATAGCGAATCTGCTCGCTTCAGCGGAGGAGACAGAAGCAGGCGGCTTTGTGGCCAAGTGTGGAGCAGAATCCTTTTCTTCCTGGTGAAAGGGAGAACACTCTGACCCCCGCCCTTCCTAAATCCTCACAGTTTTTGTGACTTTGGATTTCGGATCAGACCTGTAGGCTGTGAGATGTCACACTTGGTGTGACCTTGATTCTATCCCTCTGTTAATTGGCCTTTTGGGCAGTTGTTGGGTCATAGTTAAGTGATTGTCCACTAAGATTCCCAGATCCCTCTCACAGTCTCAAGGGTTGAGCCAGGTAGCACCTATTCTGTACTTGTGTATTTGGTTTTTCTTGCTTTACACTTCTCACCATTGAATTTCATTTTGTTAGGAACGGCCCAGTGTTGAAGTCTGTCAAGATCCTTCTACTGTATATCAAGGGTCTTCAAACTTGACAGCTTTAAGACTTGTGGACTTCAACTCCCAGAATTCCTGAGCTCACATGACTGGAGGAGGAATTCTGGGAGTTGAAGTCCACAAGTCTTAAAGCTGTCAAGTTTGAAGAGCCCTGTTCTATATCTTGAGTCTGTCTTCAAAAGTGTTTGGCTATTCCCCTCAGCTTAGCGTTGTTTGCAAATTTGATGAGTTCCCCTTCCTTGTCCAAATCAT